CCCCCTCCATCCCCACCCAGTCTGTGTGATTTAATCTCTATACTCTCAGCCCCGTTGTCCTAAGATTATTTGTTTAGTCCTATTTCCAAGGACCTTTAGAAGATTAAGGAAAAGCAGCTATGCCTCTAATTTCACACCTGACCCACTTCGTCAAAGAGAGAAAACCAGAATATCAAGGGATGGTTGGAGTTCTGGGATATTCAAATGAAAAAGGTCTGCAGTAAATCTAGAACCAAGGAAGTGGCATGACCAAATCAATGGCCCTCATCTACCATGCTGTAATATTTATTTTTCCTGTAGTATGGCCTTCATTGTACATGAGTAAAGTTGTTCTGTTTAGGGTGTTTTTTTTTTCTCATTTAAATTACATATTGGAAAAAAAAACCGTGATAGGTTTTTCTATCAATATTGTAGTTAAGATGCATCATCTTTGGCTATATCTGGAGATTTTTGGCTATGTCACTATTTAAAAAATTGAATCGGACAAATGAAATGGACCTTTGTTCCTACAGTGAAAAATAATAAAAAAAAAAAAAACCCATGATACTCATCCCATGAGTATCAATAGTAAAAGAATGTTGGGTAAGCCTGAACAATTTGATCAAAAGAGTAAAATGGTGGAAGTTTATTATTTTTTATTTTATTTATTTAATTTTTCTATTTCAAAACTGATGGAAGTTTCTTATTGTTGTTTGCGCTCACAAATGTTTAGTCTGTTGCACAGTTAAACCACTTAAAGGTGTGATTGCTTGTGTTGGTACATACAGCTGAAATAACAGGGTGATAACATACTAATAGCACATTATGACGATAAATCATTCAGTAAATCAGAATTAATAACATGTGTGTACCAAATAAGATAGGAATCTGCCATAATGTTGTTTCCAGTGAAGTCAGTGAAAAAAATATGCGTTTCTCTTACTATCATTTTCGAAGTTTTGAAAAAAATGACATTCCCTTCCCTACCAGAGCAAACAGCTCTAAGTTTGGTTTTGTTGTTGTTGTTGTTTTTAAAGCACTCATTTTGATATTCGGGCTAAATGAAGTATTAAGATATTTTGTGACATCTAGGTCAGACAAGATTTTACTTTTTCGTGTTAACACAGAGCATCATAAAGGCTGACAAAACCATAATACGGATTTGTATTTATTTATTTATTTATTTTCCTTTTTCCTTTTTTTTTTTTTTTTTAAGATTTTACTTTTTAAGTAATTTCTACACCCAACGGAGGGCTTGAACTCACAACCCTGAGATCAAGAGTCACGCGCTCCACCAACTGAGCCAGCCAGGTGCCCTGCATAATATGAATTTTTACAAAAATCTTTAATTATCATCTTTTAGAGTTGAGGTCCAGGAAAGCGGTAGTTAGGAAATGTATACTAATTATCTACGGTGTCACTGCAGGTATTAGGTGAATCACTAGCTCTGTGAAGTCGGCCTGTTTCTTGCTATCTCCAGACCTGACTCATCAGTAAGATGGGACCATTATTAGCATTTACCTGGTGCGGGTGCGTGCGTGTGTGCGTGAGTGTGTGTGACAGAGACAGAGACAGAAGGAGAGAGGGAGGGAGGGAGAATTAAAGAAAATTGTGCATTAGATACACCTTAGTGTAGTTAATGTTAACTTAGTTTAACTTACTACCTTTTACTGTTCTTCAGGAAATCTGTTCCAAGATGCTCCTGCCCCAAATTTGGAGGGAGGTAGTTCTAAAAATAGATTTAAATGGTGTGTAATTATTTGTAAGGATAGGATCCAGGTGAACTCTGGAGCCAGTTTATATGGGTAACAGTAAAAGTATCCCAACTGAGTGAAGAAAGTGGGATGTCTTTTCTCTTCTCTTCTGCCTTTATTATGAAGAAGGGCCTGCAGTTATATTTTTGAGGATGTCTGGGATGAGAATCCCCAGCAATCCTTTTCTAGAAATTCGTAGATTTTAAACACTCTTACTTCACCATCTCCTGCTGCCCCAAGCCTGATTTTTAAAAATGCCCAATTTGCCTCTCCTTTTCTCAGACAAGCACTGCTCGTAGAGGAAGTGGTTGTGGTCGGCATGGCTCTCTCTGAATGTTTTGGGTTGGCTGATTTCTGTGGCCTCAGCAGCACCTAAAACTGCTCTTGTTCACTCAGCTTTAACGGCTGTTGTCATCAGCATCTTGACAAGGAGGGCAAATAGCCCAGTTGCCTGGGACAGAACTAAAACTTAAGAAGAAAACTCTCGTCTCAGCTTTGCGCTCTGGCTGGCTGGGTGTTTGGGAGCCAATCCCACGGTCCCGTCTCTCGTTTTCCCTCTGTTCAAGACAAGCTATGGCACTTGACTTCCCTCCTAGATGTATCATGAGCCCTTCTTCTTCTGGGTGTTAGAGAGAGGTTAGTGAAGAAGGCCAGAGTGTTCGGTAACACGTAGCACCTGTCTGCGTTCATGCGAAGGTAGCTTTTCTCTGTTTTACATCAGAAACTCTAGTTGGGTGTCAGAAATTGGCCGGCCGGCCGGCAACGTCTAAAATGTGTCTTGCCAGGAACTTAGACCCGAGGGTTATTGTTTATCATTAAGGCTAAATCGTAATGTATATTTCCACCTCTCCCTTCCCTCATTTCATCGTCTCCTCTAGGCTCCAGGCTCGCATAGCTCATAGGATACAAGAACTGGAAAATCTGCCTGGCTCTTTGCCACCAGATTTACGAACCAAAGCAACCGTGGAACTGAAAGCACTTCGGTTACTCAATTTCCAGCGTCAGGTAATACCTTTTCCCCAGTGAATCTGAGATGTAGGAAATAAATGTAAGTCTGTTCAATACTGTTAGAAAGATATAAACTTAGTAAAATAGTATATCTTTTAGACCAGCCACATAGAGCTAAAAGTAATGAGGATGAATTGCTTATTATTCTATATATATATTTCTTTTGCTTCTGTATATCAGAGACATTTTTTTCCCTTCCATATTTGGTTTCCAAAGTCAGAGTAATGGCATTTTGTTACCGTGGATGAAACCTCGAGAACAAATGGGATAGCTTGCCTTTATGAGTGCAAAGAAAAACAAGAAGGTGGGAGAGCAGGATCAGAGCCTCTTTTGTAAACACAAATGTAAAATCCTAGCCATGACGATGAAAATAATCTTAACAAATACGATAGCCACTCTGCTAAATGAATAGCTCATCATTTACAGAAACACATAAAACTGTTTGTCCCCATCACACCCCCACGTGGTGACTGATCAGTTGATGATCATCTCTTTTTCTTGCTCTGGTTCTTAGTAGTTACTGATGAATCAAAGCTAGCATGATGATCTATTTTACCATTGCTAAATTACTAGGGAAACGAAGGAGCGCTAATTTTTACGTTGGTGAGTTTGGCTTTGTGGACCCAAAAGGTGCCGGTCTCCCGGTCTGCACACTGCCTCATTTAGCCAAAGGGGAAGAGGAGCGCGTATTCCTCAGGCCGGTGGGTTGACTTGGTGAAAGTCTGGGGGGGGTGCAAAATGAATTATTAATGAATGAAAGGAATTTGCATGACTCGGTATGTTGCAGGATGTGACTGAAATCGCAAAGCCACCCCACTTGCCTCTGTCCTATGAACCTGGGAGTACACTTGCCCTCTTGGTTATAATGTCACAAGAGGACATCCATGGTGGTGGGGAACTAGCTGGCCACAGCTCTGTGGGAGTAAAAGAAAGAAAATAAAAGGCTCTGAGTCCCATTCACTTCCTTTCTTACAGGCGACGTCCTACCATGCATTGATAAAGTGCTTAATCCAGTATTGTTAAATGAGTAATAACCAAGTAGATTTTCACAAATGAGATTATATTCAGATTCACTTCACTATGCTGGACTCTTGCCGGTTTCTGATTTTTTGGTTGATATTGTGGAAAAATCCATGATCTATGGAGTTTCCCAGTGAATTAACTCTAGTTGATGCTGACTTGAGGTTCAATCGAATTCCTATTTTAATGTATATTCCCAACCCCGACCCCCAGCTACCACCACATAACGTCCAACATGGATAAGACATCACATTGATGATAATCTAAGGGAAGTCCATGATACAGTGTGAAACCTAAATATCTTGACGAATATCCTCATTGGGAGTGGGAGGAAGCCAACGCCAGGATCTCCCATCTTTCGTATGAGAATGAACATTGCATTAATAGTGTTTGAGTACCTGCTGCTATTGTACATGAACAGGAAGTCATTTTTCTACTCTTTTTTGCAGAGCATCATTAAAGTTAATCTCTAGACACAAAGAGAATGTTAGTATGGCACTTAAAATGAAGTAAAATAATTCAAAAGCTCTTTAACTAATTAATATCATTAGAATAATTAAGCGGGATGAATGAATTTATTTAAAACCCCAAGACAACGTCGGCTTTTTTTCAGTGTCACAGTGCTGGGAGTTTTTTTTGTTGTTGTTGTTTGTTTTGTTTTTTGGGTTGTTTTTTTTTTTTTTTTTTTGTCTTGTTTTGTTCTGTTTCCTTAACCTGAACGGCTTGGAAAGAAAACTTATGCCATCTTTGAAAACACCACATAAATTTGGCACGGTTTAGTCCCTTGGTTTACAGAAAGGTCCACTGTGGTGGTGCACCTTCTAGAGCCCCCCCGGGGGGCCCGTGCTGACCGGGAGCTAGGGCAGGGCCCAGGAGCCAGGCCTTGCATCTGGTGAGGCTCTCCAACCACTCTCCCCTCCGCCACCCCGACAGCTAAGACAGGAGGTGGTGGCCTGCATGCGACGGGACACCACGCTGGAGACGGCCCTCAACTCCAAAGCCTACAAACGGAGTAAGCGCCAGACGCTGCGGGAGGCCCGCATGACGGAGAAACTGGAGAAGCAACAGAAGATCGAGCAGGAGAGGAAGCGTCGGCAGAAGCACCAGGTACCGAGGCCTGGGCTGTGCGCCCCCACGCTGGCAGAGACGCCCCGACCGAGCCCTCAGGCGGGGTCCGGAGGCCTGGAGAGTGGACCGGGGCGTGAGGTGGGAACACCACAGAGCAGAAAGGCTCCCGGGAGCTCCCGTGGGCAGACTGGCCCATGGAACAGGCAGGGGGGAAAAACAGGCCATGCCAGGGACATGGGCGGCCTGCCCACGGCCTCCTGTGGCGGGGATGAGATGGGGGACCGTGCTTTCTGGATACCAGGCAGGTGTCCTCTTCATCATCCCACCCGCAGATGCCCGCCGCATGGGCACGGGAGAGTTGCCAGGGGCAAAATCCTCAGGAGCAGGAACTTGGAAAAGGAAAGAAGAGAGCACATGGTTATTTTTATAGCAAATATAAATACAGTCTCCTGGGCTTTTTCAGGGCCCAGTTGGAGGTTTCATAGGGGCAGATATTTTAAAACATTCCTTTCTAGGCGTTTGGAAGTAGTTTGATGGAGAGTTTGATTTTGCATTACAAACCTATACACTGTGTTTGTGTTCCTGTGCTTAATTTAGTGCCCGGTGTTAGTTTCATTTTGAAAGATGTTAGCTGTCCGTTGGTACACGTTTCCTCTCCTGTCTTTCAAAAGTCGATCCAAATAAGGTGGAGGGGTGGCGAATCATGGTGCTGAGGCATTTGAGTTAGAGCAGAAGGGGCATTACTTTTGTTTACCTGGTTCTCCCTGGAAATATCTGCCTACCTTGGGCTGACTGGAGGGTGATTTGCTTTCAATTTTATCCTTGCCCGTTTTGCAGGCATCTGTCACATCCTTGATCTTGCTGTTTTCACGAGGCCTTATATCTTTGAGGTCCTAGAGGCTTCCCTTCCACAAGCTGGTGCCTTTGAGAGGCTGCTTTTCCCACTAGCCCCAAAGCCCACAGCTCAGCTACCAAGAGACATCCCAGGGCACCTGCCCCACAGAAGATTCTAGTCTTCTGCTGTTGTGAAAGGCTCCCTGAGCGTTTTCTTGGGCTCCATGGATGACACTGGGAAGTAGACTTTAAGTATCCTTTTCCCTCCTCCCTTCGGGGCCTGTAGGAATACCTGAACAGCATTTTGCAGCATGCAAAAGATTTTAAGGAGTACCATCGGTCTGTGGCCGGGAAGATCCAGAAGCTATCCAAAGCAGTGGCAACTTGGCATGCCAACACCGAAAGAGAACAGAAAAAAGAGACGGAGCGGATCGAAAAGGAGAGAATGCGGAGGCTGATGGTAAGGGGCTCACCTGCGGGGACCCCGGGCAGTGGGGTTCCGGCATGCACCTGTATTGAGAATGTTAAATATGCCATCTCAAGAGTGGGTAAAAGTGGCTTATCAAATATATGAACACGCCCCTTTGAACTTCATATGGATGGAGTAAAAATATCTCCTTTCTGAACGATGCATGCCACAAACCCAGGGCCACAGCTGATGAGTATTTAATATCTCCATGTCCTGGGGTGGCCTTGCTGTGCAGAATATAGCTTCTCGCATCAAGGCAGGTACCCCAGTTCATAGGAGGTTTAACAACCAGATCTAGAAGGATGGATATGCTCGTTCTTTTTAAAATATTGCCACTTTTGAGACTAATGACACAAGTTATTTTGAGCAAATGCGTCATTAACTTGTGTCTTGGACTCAAAGAAGGTCTGTTTCTTGAAGCCGCTGGTGCTTATCCCTTTTTTTTTTTTTTTTAGTGGTAGAAATTTCTCCCTTCTAGTGTAAAAAGTGATTTTTAAGTTAACTTTGAAATGTTACTTTTTTGGTTATGGCTGTGTTATTGTCAAAGGCTATTCACGGATCATTACCTTTGTGCTGTTATTTTTTAAGGGGTAGATACATACAGAAGGGATCAGTTTACATCATTGGCCTGGGAGTCTGGTTTTATTGACCGTTCATTTTTGGAATTGGACCTCAGAGCACACTGTGGGTTTTAGAAAAGCGTGTGTGCTCTCTAATGATAGGAGACCTGCACATTCTACCTTGGACATAATGCCCGAGTATGGGATGGAGATGAAATTGTTAGCTTTGGCCCCTAATTACATCCCTGGAAAATTCCAAGTGACACTGTCTTCATTGGTGGTATTATGGTTTGCATTTTGTTTTCATTACCTTTTTTGGATTCCAGAGAGTTAACACCATATTTTAAAAGGCTCTGCGTCCAGGTACCACTAAATCTTACCATCTTCTCCCACCTCCCTCTCCATTTTGGGGGGGGGAGGGGCGGGGAAGGAGAAGACTGTCCACGAGATTTCCACCCAGCTAGGGAGGCCATTTTTATAGTGATCTGAGCAGCAAGCAGTCAAACTTGTCTGATTCAGCTGGAGAGAAACTGTATTAGAACTTCAGTAACAGATTGGCTTGACACTAATGATTAGGCATTTGCAAATCATTAATTTTTGCAATTAAATGATGGAATATACAGATAACAGAGAAACTGAAGTTTTTTATCACTCTTTCTTCAAGTGAGATCAACCATAACCAAAAGCAATTAGAGTTATAATAGCATTTGAGGTTCGTGCTCATCCACGGGGCAGACAGCAGCTAGACTGAGTGATAAAACTTCCGTCACTTGGGGAGAAGCTGGAGTGACGCCCCTGGACTGAAGATCCTCAGCTCGGCTGCAGTGCACTTGCCTCTTGAGGATTTTGTGACACGTCCCTTTTATCCTGCGTCACACTGGGGAAAATATTTTGAGATGTCCTTTTATTGGGATGTATAAAAGAGATTTCTCCTGAAATGGCTCCGAGGACATCAGAGTTCTTATGGCATTTAACCTCATAATGTTGCTTAATGGGAGGCAGAGGTGGAAATTACTGTACCGTTTTATTGCTCAGCAGTATCGGACTCCGGGTGCTAAATGCCTTGCCTGCAGTCACCTAGGCCCACCGTGCCGTGCCCATCGGTGACAAAAATGCCCCCAGATTTGACATTTGCTATCCACCGCCACGTTTGTAAAGCTTTTACATACGAGAAGTTACACTAGTCAAAGTCCATTTGAGTCTTTGCCCTTAGACATGCTTATTGAAATGTTTCTGAATGAAACGATAGTATGTCTGGAATCGGCTGCAGGGCAATCCAGTTTGGGATTGGGAAGGGGAGTTGCGGGAAGGGTAGCCATGAGACGGGAGTCTTCCTGAGTTCATTTCGGTTGCTTGGTGTTGGTTATATGAGAGACTATACTCTTCTCCCCACTTTGGGTTGTTCTGGAAAATTTCCAGGCTTCCAGGTGAAGGATACAGTTGGATGGTGAATTATCAAATTTTCAGATCTTTTTTTTGTGCAAAGAAACCTCAAAAAAACACAAAAGTGAGTCAAAGTGCTTGCCCACACCGGGTAAATAGTGTGGTATTGGGCCCTGACTCTGCCACGGAGCCCGTGTCCTGGGACTCGGGCGGGCATTGCGCTCCCAGGCCGCACCCCAGTCCCGGATTGTGCATGGTCACCCCCGCAGCCTGGATCATTCCATTCACTGTGCTCACCACCAGTCAGAGTTCAGACGGTGATGGGGAGCCCTGAGTGGACAGTGGAGCTGCCATCCCATCTTTACTGTGCTCTGATTATGTCCCTCTTTTCCTTAATAGGCTGAAGATGAAGAGGGCTACAGAAAACTGATCGATCAAAAGAAAGATAGGCGTTTAGCTTACCTCCTGCAGCAGACCGATGAGTATGTGGCCAACCTGACCAACCTGGTGTGGGAGCACAAGCAAGCCCAAGCAGCCAAAGAGAAGAAGAAGAGGAGGAGGAGGAAGAAGGTGAGCGCCCTAATGGTGTGAGGGAGGGAACCAGGCGCGCCAGACGGGGTGTTGGAGGTGAGCGTGTGATGGGTGGGAGGTGAACAGAAACGGTTCAGGCCGTATTTTCCTTGTTCCATAGCGTGTTTCAAAATGAAGCGTATAGGGTCAATAGAAAAAGGAAAAAAACGTGGGCACACATAAGTGTTTGCTTGAGGTTAATGCTGGTGTGGTAGGGCCATGAAAATGGAGCAGAAAAGGCAGAGTACAGTTGGAAGGACCCCAAGGAGGGTGTGAGGGACCCTTTGGGTTGCTTTCAGAGCCTCCTTGAGCCTGTTTGTTCAGACGGGCAGCCATGCCCAAATGGTGCGTTCAGTTCAGCTGCCCTGATTGTGCTAAGGGGAGTGGGCAGGCCAGGGTTTTCGGTCATAACCAAGGATAGTAAATGGTTTTATGTAAAATAGAGCCTAATTAGCATGGACAGGGAAGGGTAAGATTTAGAATCTCGGCTCTGTGGCTATTATATCTCGACGCAGGTGTAAGCGGCCCGTGTAGACCAGTGAATGTAGATCCTCTTTGAAGCTTGAGTGGTCTGGAGGTTTACTTCTTGGTTCGTATTTTGTTTTATGGCGGATCCTGACTGGCCTGGACACACACGTCCACAGGAAAGAGAAAGTCTTCGTCGAGGTCGTGAGGAGTGAGGCTGGGTGGCTTTTCATCATGTATTCTCTGCACTGAATCACGGAACAAAATGTTTTTCAAAAAAATAATTAATTTCATGGCTCCTGAATTCTCATACCTGCTTCGTAATTAAGGGGGAGGAATAAATGATGGAGAAGGCGCTTCCTTGCCCCTGACTTCTTTGGTATAAGATAGCTTCCCGCATTGTGAAGATGAACAAGGGATGACTCAGGGCTTGGATTTAGACAGTTCGTCGTCGTCGGGGAGAAAGACCTCATTTTCTTGTCAAGGTAGTATTACAGACTTTGCAGAATTCCAGCTCCCGATTTCTGACTTAAAAGGACGTGTTCAGAGTCAGGGAAGAGCACACGGGCAAACAGATAGGATTCTGTAACATTCCATAGGGGGACCGTGTGAAATGACCGTTTTCATTTTTCCTAATGCGGAGGTGTATTTTGCAGAGGTTACCACAGAAAGGTCACCGTCAGTGTTTTCAGTACTAAAGTTCAAATTCTACATTTTGCGTGTGATTAAAAGCTAATGGCCCAGATTTGTGCTTCTGGCTTATAATTAATAGATTCCTGGCATGATATGAGATTGTTAATATCATTGTCAGCAAAGAAAGATATATTGTTGAGTGATAGTGATTATGCCTGTATATTCGTATTAATCTGTACAAAGCAGGAACCTGTCATAATATTTTTCTTGGTGCAGCCAACCCCACGTGATCTATAGGTTGGCTCTCTACTTCCTGACCCTTGCCTTCAGGTTTGCTGATAGCAGGTGTTCTTTCTCTTTTATCCATTTGTCCGGCAAATATTAACTGGATGCTTACTGTGAGCCAGGCAAAGTGCTCAATGCTGGGGGAGAAAGAAGGAGATGTTGAGGAAAAGCACCCTTGCCCTCTCTTTCAGTTCCATCAGGGAGTGAGAGACAGAGAGACATTGATCAAATACACACCCAAATAGATAATCATAAACCATGATGAACGCTGTGAAGGAAGACTGGGAGCCAGACTGGGGAGGGGACCTGGTTTCCTGGCAAATGAAAGGTCCATACCAAAGCCAGTCCCACTCCTGTCTGCCGCTTAAGAATCTCTGGGTGGCTCCCGCTGGTTATCTGCACGTGATTGAATGTGCAGAATCATTATTTTATCATCAGCTCTCTGCCTCTTCCCTGGCGTGCTCTCAGGATGCCTAGCATGGGAGCTCACCCTGCCTTCATCAGGACTGAGGGGCCCGGCTGGACTTCCTCCTAGAGCCATTTTGCTGGGACGAATGGGATAAGGAGGGAAACAAAAGAAACCCGGCCCTTCCCCAGTCCTTCCTGAAAACCGTCCCTTTCGTGGGGCTTTGAGACTTGGTTCAAAGCGAGTTCCCCAATTCCAGATGCACCTTTATTCAAGTGCAAAGAAAATGGATGCTTTCAAAAGCTGATTATTTGACAGTCTGGATTATCTGTAGTTCTTCCCTCCATTAGAGTGAATGATTGAGGGTGGCTTGTTCCAGCTTCTCTGTTGGGGAGGAAGGCTGGGTCCAGAAGCTTAAAAAATTCTGTGCCGACCCTTTCCGCTCTTCCCACAGAACCGAGGATGACGCTGTGCCTTTCTGGAGGTTGTTTTCTGCAGTTAAGTAAGGCCTCAGTAAGCCTTTGTTTTTCCTGAGCCAGTGGACCAACAGCATTGTGCTAAGGCAACAGGTGTGGGGACAGCGAGGATACGGCTGCCTCTGTCTCCGCTGTTAGAGGGGAGTGTGGTTGAACTTGTGATTTCATTGGAAGAGGATTATTATTATTATTTTTAATGTTGCCCCAGTGTAACAGAGGAAGGCCTCTGTCTTTCTGGGGAGGTGTGTTGTGTTTCCTTGTTGTTGGTAACCAGGAGAGTGGGTCTCCTTGAACCTGCCACGAGCCTGTTTGTGCCTCTGTTCTCACCGTTAGAACCTCTACTATGAAGTATACATTTATACATCATTCTGGAACTCCTCGCTCTCAGCCCGGTCTTCCATTAATGCCCTTGAAGTGAAAGACAAGGAGGCAAACTATATGTATCTACCTAGGTGTTAGAGGAGGAATAATTTGCAAAGTATCGAAATATCTAATTAAGTGAAACCAGCCTTTGCAGTGTGACGGGATTAATGTACTCTGATGTGCACTCAGCATGACCTTGAGGTATCTGTCCTCTCCCATGATTGGTCTCTAACATCTGCGGGGTGACTACAGGTTAAAAAAGGACACGGGGCTACGTAAAGCCAGCAGGGTGTGTACAAATAGGAATGAGCATGCTAACGTAGAAAATTGGTCCCACCGCCCAAGCGCTCATGTCAGTCTGCAAACTTTTAAGTTCCTAACTGTGGAAGAAAACGTACCCTCCTAATTTGCTTTTATTCCCTTACAGAATATTTCCTTAAAAGATCTGTTGCCTAGTGCTTCTGATCTGTGAGGAGGTGATAGGATTACATGGCAAAGTGTATCTAAAGCATTTAGAAGGTGTGCTGGCACATAGTAAGTGCCCAGTAAATAGTTATTTTATTAAACGATTCTGTGGTATAAATGTAGGATAGCAATTGTTGAAATGTAGTTATAAGAGTTTTTTTTTTGAAGAAAATCTTCTTTTTTCCCCATGTTGTGTATTCTCTACGATGTTGGGAGAATAAATGTTTGGCTACCACTTTTTTTCCCCCCAGTTAGGATCAGTTAGGTACTGGGTAGGATGTCTTTTTGGACAGTGGCAGGTTCTTTGACCATTGAGGCACGCAGTTGGAAATGAGGATTTATACTTTTTGGTGGACTCTGCTTACCCCTCCCTTGCTAGCTCCTGCAAAGAGAATTTTCTAATTGTGGGGCGTCTTATTTGCAGCAGTTCCTGGTGGTAATCAGGTGGTCCTTGCAGAACTCTAGGGTATCTTTCTTTAAGCTCTGGTTATGCGTCCAGGCCAGCCACTACCCCC